GTAAAAGTGAACTCGCCGTTGGGTACTTTCGGTTCGATTAAAACATTAAATTTTGGTTTCAGTCTTCACGTGCATGTCTCTTATATAACACCGTCTCTGATTTTTTCCTAAGAGGAAGAGGAGACAATACGGGGGCGAAAACGAACCACTTTTCTGTCAAACGCGAACCAGTTCGTGATTGGCCGATTTGAAGTGCGTAAGATAGAGATAGAGATAGAGATAGATATACATAGAAATAGAGATATAAAAATTGGTTAAATTTTAAACATCGATGCGAGCATCGATGAGCAGCTTAAGACCGACGCACAATTGTTGCATACGTTTTCGGGTTTTTTTACAGATAATGCATGGGCTAACTGTCAAAATACCTGAAAACGTATCCATTGTGCGCCGGCCTTTACACACCAGGTGAGTCGATCGTACTTACTTTCGTCCGATGTATCGAGTTGTCAATAACTGAGTAAACGAGAAATGTGAAACTGAGTAAAAGTCACTCACTCAGTACCTGGACTTAGAAAAAATGCCAGCCATGCCGGAGGAAACGTCCTATAGGAAAAGTTACTCAAATGCCTTCAGGTAAGTAGGAATTGCTTAGGGAAACGGTGTTGAACCATTTTTTGCTGCGGTAGGATTAATCCGGAGCAGGCAATTTTCATTTCCTTGAATAAAAATCAAAACAAACCCCCATAGAAAAAATTTTAATCATTTTTGATTGAATTTTAATCTTTTTTGATTATATATCAGTATTGAAAGATAATAAAATTTAATACTGTAAAGATTATTTCGAATTTAATCATGCATGACTACTGCCGAAGTTATCATGGCTCGGACTCAATAAGGTGAAGCGGGAATCTGCATACTTTTTAAGCTTTTTTGATTTAATTTATCTTTGAGTGTGCACTTTTGGCGATTATGAGTGAACTAAACTCAAATTTGGGTCGTTCTCATTCGCCGTGCACTTAATTTTGGGTAGTTTTTTATCTCCGTGTACTTTCTTGCCGCTGTAGCGTGAAGGCCGGCGCACAATAGATACGTTTTCAGGTTTTTTGACAGTTAGCCCATGCATTATCTGTCAAAAAACCCGAAAACGTATGCATTGTGCGCCGGCCTTGAGGTGAGCACATGCACGGTAACCAGCGTAAACACATTAATGTGTAAAATTTCACTGGTTACCGTGTACACAGCAAAAAAAGTTGTTGAATATTACATCGAAGCTGCTGCAACCAGCGCAATCCATCGGTTGTGTAATATCACATTGTACGATGTACATCGATTTTGTGAACAAAATTACATCCATTGATGTAATATTGTATCTACTTTTTGCTATTACATCATTATTTCATACATCAGCTTGAATTACGTTGATCGATATTACATTTTTTTTGCTGTGTATACAGTAAATATATGGACGTCTGTCAAAAGTTGTTCCACACGCTTATTCTGGTCAACCCAAAATTGAGTCGAAGGTACTCATCTCAGCGGCAAGTATGGCTACTCAAAATTGAGTACACGCTAACTTCTGCTTACTCACCAGGTGAGTCGATCGTACTCACTTTCGTCCGATGTATCGAGTTGTCAAAAATTGAGTATACTAGAAATGTCAAACTGAGTAAAAGCCACTCAGTCAGCAAAATCCTGGACTTGGAAAAAATGCCAGTCATGTCGGAGGGAAAATGTTACTCAAAACCGGCTGAAATGCCTTCAGGTAAGTACGAATTGCTTAGGGAAACGGTGTTGAACCGTGTTTTGCTCCGGTAGAATGAATCCGAAGCAGGCAATTTACATTTTCTTGAATGAAAATCAAGACAAAAACCCTCCCCGCAACTGAAAATACCGGTGAGTGGATTTGACTCAGTCTACGTGAGAACGTAGTTTACTCAAAAGTGAGTCAACATAAGCCTACTCAATTTTGAGTAGCCATACTTGCCGCTGAGATGAGTACCTTCGACTCAATTTTGGGTTGACCAGAATAAGCGTGTAGCCTTATGTTGACTCACTTTTGAGTAAACTACGTTCTCACGTAGACTGAGTCAAATCCACTCGCCGGTATTTTCAGTTGCGGGGAGGGTTTTTGTCTTGATTTTCATTCAAGAAAATGTAAATTGCCTGCTTCGGATTCATTCTACCGGAGCAAAACACGGTTCAACACCGTTTCCCTACACGGTGTTTCGCGAAAACCCATTAATGGGTATAAAAACACCCATTTCCGCTAAAAGTGCCCCTCCTCATTTAATGGGTAAACTATGGTTTACTCATTAATGGGTAAATGGGTGTTCTGTCAATAAATGGGTGTTTTTTACCCATTTTCTTGAATTGTGTTTACCGTAAAATGGGTGAAAAAATACCCATTTTTTCAAAAGGAGGATGCAAGCGCTTGGTTATTTGTCCTCGTAGATATAAAAAACTTTCTAAAACATTGAAAATAAATGCAGGTGTTCCGATCAAATTTTATTACACGAATTACACGGCTAGCTCATCCGTAAGCCTCTCCAACGTTCCGGATTCTAATCTTTTCCGGAGATCTCCCATTTTCGCTAAAAAGCTGCGGACAGTAACTGTTTGCATTCCCAATGAATCGGTGACAGAAATGAGACGATAAAATTTCAAAGTGTTTTTTCACCCATTAGTGGGTAAAAAATATACCCATTATTCAACCGTGAACTGATTCTTTAAATGGGTATTTTTTCACCCATTTTATGATTTCAAAATTCCCCCATTTTTTGACAGCTGCATACATGGTTTGAAAATGGGTATTTTTTCAACCATAAATGGGTTTTCACGAAACACCGTGTAAGCAATTCGTACTTACCTGAAGGCATTTCAGCCGGTTTTGAGTAACATTTTCCCTCCGACATGACTGGCATTTTTTCCAAGTCCAGGATTTTGCTGACTGAGTGGCTTTTACTCAGTTTGACATTTCTAGTTTACTCAATTTTTTACAACTCGATACATCGGACGAAAGTGAGTACGATCGACTCACCTGGTGAGTAAGCAGAAGTTAGCGTGCAATCAAGAGGGCTTTAGCTTTAATCATACACGGAGATGAAAAACTACTCAAAATTAAGTACTTTTCCCTCAATTTCGGGGTTCAGCCCAATAACCCAAATTTGAGTAAATCGCATATAGTAGTTTCCATTTAACACCAGCAAAAAAAATTACCTACTCTTAAGTATATTCTACCCAAAATTATGTTTAATTCACGTAAGTTTGAGAATATGCATTTTACTCAAAAATAACTTATTGGGCTGAACTATATCTTTTTTTTTCCTTTGGTTTGTTTTCCGTCGATCTTGTTTTCCGTGCTGAGCACCAATGCTACCGACGCCAGGAAGGCAGCTCCCACACCTGGACCCTACCTATCGACTCATCAACTCATGAACCGGGGACCAACGGCTTTATACCCCGTTCACATTACAGTGTATATCACGTGATATACGCTGTCTTGCAATGAGCACTCATACATCTAGTTTTCACTGGAAATCCTATGTATGAGTGCTCAATGCAAGACAGCCTATATTACGTGATATAGACTGTAATGTGAACGGGGTATTACTTTCCTTCCGATGGAAGGCGTGATCAGAGATGTTATGCCTCAGAACATCCCGGCGGCGCCGACTGGGATTGAACCCAGGCCTGCTGGGGTGAGAGGTAATCACGCTTACCACTACACCACCGGCGCCTAATGTATGTCTGAAATCAAAATGTGGACTTGGCGGGCTCTGATCCAAGAGTTGCGTGATTTCTTTGGAAATCAGTTGAAGCAATGACGTTTGAATGGATTTTGATCTGGAACTGGACTGTGGACTCTTCGACAACATGCTGGTCTTCCGGAAGATCCAAAACACTGTAAAAGAGGTCAATTGATGAAAATTGTTCTAGAGCCCCGTGATTCATCACTTATACCTACGCTACATGAATGAATTTGTATCTGAGGTCAGATTGTAGACAATGGAGGCCATGGCTGGTCTTCCGGAAGATTCGGAACATTCGATAAAACGATAATTTCATGAAACTGATCCAAGAGCTTAGTGATTTTTAAAATCAATTGTACTGATGCTACATATAATAATTGAGACTAGGGATCGGAAGTGGACTCTTGGAGGACTCTCGGTAAGATTTGTAACTTCTGTGCTTCAATTCATGAAACTGATCCAAGATTCCGGCTCTACATAGATTTGCCATAGATTTGAATTAATGTGGTGCGAGCTGTGGATATTGGATAAGCTGATGGTATGCTTCTAAGACACTGCATTCTCAACTTATGCATATGTATATATTGACGAATAAATAAAATAAAAAGATACCAGCTGTTTCAAGAAATTACTATTTTGCGTGGTTTTTTTTGTCAAAATTGTTTTTCAATTTTATTAATTTCAAATTACTTTTTTTCTATAAATTGTCCGCCTCCATTCACAGAAAAAAAAGTTGTTGAATATTACATCCAAACTGCTGCAACCAGGTCAGTCCATCGGTTGTGTAATATAACGTTGTACGATGTACATCGATTTTGCGAACAAAATTACATCCATTGATGTAATATTATATCTGCTTTTTGCTATTACATCATTATTTCATACATCAGCTTGAATTACATTGATCGATATTACGTTTTTTTTTTTGCTGTGATTCGTTTAGTATTAGCCATCATATCAAGTAGCAGCTAAGATAGAAGGGAGGGGGCGGATTTAGCTCAATTAGGACAATTCATGGTTTTATACTCGGTATTATATGCTTATCATTTTTATACACGCTGACTAGAATCGTCCGGATATACTTATTGTCTACGATTATGCGGGACGTGAGCAATGTTTCATTCAAATCAGAAGGGGTCGAGACAAAATTGACATTTTTTTTAACGATTTGAGCTGGAAGTGCTCTATTGACTTCGCTTCGCACCTTGCGTGACTCTTTATATACCGGCTCTATCTCAACGGTAAACAAAAAAAAATACTTTCCTGCTTGTCAACTTATAACTAGAAGTTGAGCATTTTTCGTTTGTGTTTCTAAGAACAACATTAAAATTTTTATCTTTAGATAACCCAGAAAGCACGATAATAAATCATTTTTACGATAATTGAAGAAGATAATTAGCACAATGCAAGACTCCGATGATCTGGAACTGCAAGTCAATGCAGACGAAATGTGTCGCACTTGTTTGGGACAATTCCCTCTCAATCAGCTCAAACCAATTTTCTGCAACGAAATTCTTGACGGGAAGATCGTTCCTTTTCCCCAAGTATACGAAACCACATTGGGTATTAAGGTAACAGAGCATATATCTAATTTCATACCTAAATTAAAAATATGTTATGATTTCCAGCCCGTGAAAAACGATGTTTTCCCAAAGAATGTATGCGTTAATTGCAAAACCAGACTGAAAGAGTTGTTTTCCTTCAAAGAGAAAACGTCGAAATCGTTTGATTTGTTGTATGAAATCTTTGGAATTGAAAAACCTCCACCACCGCTTTCTCCTCTGTTGGCAAAGGTAATGACTACGGCAGGAACTCAAACAACTGAAATAGTCATCCGGGAAAAAGACGTCAATCTGTACAGAAGATTTCTTACCATCGAAAGAACTTCCAAACCTCCTACTAATGATTCCGCATGTCAAGTAGAACCTGTGTTGGAAGATTCATCAAGTCAAACTGAACCTATACTGAAACTAATAAAGAACGCCTCAGTTCAAGTGGATCAACCTACAGAACCAGCTGAGTATTCGAATGTCGAGCTAGATGTGTCCTATAATGAAGAGTTACTTGAAGAAACAGAAATAGGTGACGACAACGAGGATGAAAGTTACACTCACATGGATGTGATTGACGACATTGAAGAAGTTGATATCGTGGCAATCCAGGAAGAAAATATTGAGGATACCGAAATAACGGAGATCACAGATCAAGAAGAACTCAATGTTGATGGTAAGATATTCTATTGTTAGGTATGCTCTCAAAAGCAACTAAATCATATATTTATTGTCTAGACAAAGCATCTAAAAGTAAATCAAATGGCCCAATTAAGCTTGAGCCGCTATCTGACCTTGATTTGGAAAATGAAGCAATTGAATATTTAGCATACGAAATCGATAATGAACCAGAAGCAGAAACAGAGTCGGAATCCTACAAAGTTTCGTCCAAAAAAGCAGTATTCGCTAAGAAAGAGAAAGAGTGCACTTATTGCCAATTTATCACAAACCTTGGTGCGGCGTTCGATGAGCATAACGCTATACATCAACAAACACTTGAAAGTATTTTTGATAGAGCGGATTATTTCCGTTGCACGATGTGCAAGCTGGTTTATGCGACATCGATTGGATTGGAAAACCATTTAAATTCAAGAACATGTACTCCGATTAATCCTAGAAATTTTGTAGAATCTAATGAGATGCTCAAACACGAACAGTTCTATAACAATGGATTAGATATCTGTGTACCGAAGATGATATCTTTTCATATGAACGAGGACTCGCAAGTCGTTTGCAGTGCATGTAGTTTAGCCTTCGAAACACTTTCCGGTGCTGTAGATCACTTTTCCTTCACACACCAACAGGAAGAAATGAACAACGATATGAATGAGACTTGGGAGGAGAACGGCTACAATCAAATCCACGCATGTGGAATATGCAACGAACAGTTTTCGGATGCAAGCTTCATCAGACAACACGTCTACTTTCACCGACCTAGACATGAGTGTCCATTCGATTGCAAGGAATCGTTCAAAGATTTCTATAAACTAACGGTCCATTTGAATCGGAATCATCTTACAGCAACTGTCACTACTTCGTCTAGTGAAAAGAAAGAGGCTCTGCAATCAGATATAGTTTGCCAAATTTGTTTTAAAAGGTTTACCTCGAAAGCGTCGTTCAAGGTGCATTCAAAGTAAGTTACATTATGCATATTTAAGTTTAAACTGCAATTGGTTTGTGCTCCATTCCAGGAATCACTTCGCCGATCGTCGGTACACATGTACCATGTGTCCCAAAGCCTTCCTGCAAAAATCAGACCTTACTATCCACATCCGGTCGCATACGGACGAGCGACCGTTTACATGTATCATTCCCGGATGTGACAAAAAGTTCAGAACATCAAGCCACCGGCGGGATCACATGTCTACGCACGTCGAGGAGAAAAAATACCAATGTCATATCTGCCAGAAGTACTTTAAGGCTGAACGAATTCTCCAGGGACATATAAGGCAAGGATTTTCAGTTCCACAAAACTAGGGCACTATAACTGTTTGTCTCTCTATTTTTTCCTTAGGCTACACTCAGGATTTAAACCGTTTGAGTGCGCAGAGTGTGGAAAAACTTTCAGTCGGAAGCATCATGTGAAGCTGCATATGAAAACCCACGGAAAGGATGTGAATTTCACGTAATCAAAAATTAAGGTATGTTTTATTGTTTACTAAAGTAAGAATAAAGTATGATCATTGCATGGGTAACTCTGTTCTGTGCTTCACCTTCGAAACAGTCCTTAACAGATTTTTATCAGTAGGAAGCGTTGTACATTGTGATGATGTTGATGAAACTTTTTGGAGTTGCATAAAACTTGTCCTAAGATTTCCTGTGTCCATTTCTACATTTTGTACTATAATGGCAATGGAGGTCGGAACGCGTTCCAGTTTGGTGCTTCGCTGATCTACTAAAATAGCATTTGTCAGCCGAGTACTAACTTTTCCACGAGCGAAGTAACGTAGGCAGTAGCAGTAGCTTTATTCTTCTTCTTCTTGTTCTTTCGCTATTACATCCCAAGTGAAGCTTACTGCCTGCCTTCAAAATAGTGTTCTTTGAAAATTTTACAGTTATTAGTGGGTTTAGGAGGTTCCAAAGCCTGTGCCGATTTTGCATTCGAAATAGGTAAGTGTCAAGCAAATTGATGGCCTACGTCCAATAGAGTCGAGAAAAAAAATAGAAAAGGCATATTCCGATGATTCATAAACAAAGTTAATTATTCTGTAAATTATCCCCCTTGCTATTCAACTTGTGCACTTTCTCTTTGTGTATTTTCACATTATACTTGGTATAGAATTTTTTAGAACATACATCACACTCATGCTTTCTTTCCTCAGAGTGGCGCTTAATGTGATTACGGTAGCACGTGCGAGTTTGCAAATGTTTCCCACACAGATGACACTGAAACGTTTTGCCCTCTATATGCGAATCCATATGAGCTGTCCGAAGCGAAGCTGTTTTGTAGCACTTTCCACACACCGTGCATTTGAACGGACGTTCGCCATTGTGCATTCGCTGATGTAGTTTAAGCTCTCCATGCTGTGCAAATGTCTTACTACATTCTATACATCGATGCTTTTTCTCCAGGCATTTCAAGTGATGGGCCAAAGAACGCGATGTCATAAATTTTTTGTCTGAAAATTTAAATCATGTTATCAAAACTAACATATTTTTATCATCTGTAGTTCCTATCAACTTACCGCAGTGATCACAATGGAACTTCTTTCCACTGCATTTCAATCGCAAATGTTGCTGCAGTTCAGCCATCGATTCAAACGTGTTCGCTCCACAGTGTTGGCACAGATGGGATTCATACTCAATGTGCTTGTTCGCTATATGTATTCCTAGCCGGGCAGAGGAAGCGTACTCACATCCACATCCTTCAAATGGACACGGAAAGGAGTTCAGATGTGACAGAAGATGTTGCTTCATATGGTCTATCTTGATGTGCTCGGCCGAACAAATACCGCAAACGTAAGGCACTTCAACATTCTCAGAAGAATCTTTCGTACATTGTCGATGATCTGTAGCATTCATGTGATCGGATAAATCTGTACCTTGTAGATACACTTTCAAACAGACAGTGCAAATGTGATAAGTGAAGAACTCTGTTACACTGGTATTTGCATCATGTATTCGTAAGTGTTTCAAGTAACGAGATCGTCCCTTTACCGTTTTCCCACAAATGTTGCAGTGTAATTGTACCACCTGTGGAACAGTTTCGTTAGTTACTTCATCACTGTGCGTTGATTGCAGTTCATTATCGTCTGCAACAACGCTTGCAATATTATCCACTGCATTATTCGAACACTGCTCAACTGATTCGAAGGTTTCCGGTTCTTCATCATCTAAATAGTGAATATCGTCATCCGTAGCTGCTACAGGAGATTTCACCTGACTCGAGTTCACAGCATCTGTTGAAACCAAGCGGCTTCTATCGTCCATTTCTACCTCGTACTCTTCAAACTGCTCATCATCAATGAAACCAACATGATCAGTCACTATTGTACAATGAATAGCTGTGTGTTTTTTAAGGTCCTCTTCGGTATGAAAGATCTGGTCACATAGGTGACACTGATTATCTACTTGTTCGGACAGCGGAATAGTATTAGATGTAGTTTGTACCTCATCGACTACCTCCTCGTAGTTCTGCTCATGTTCAAGTATTTCAACCATGTCATCGGAAGTGGTGGAAATGTTTTCATCTATCAATTCTACTGGCTTCAAAGGAGTACAGTTTACTTTCCTTGACGAAGCAAATGCTTCGTGTAGTATTTTCTCTGTCCGTTTGCATTTTTGCTTGAACAAATAAAAACTCAGCAGTTGCCCTTTACATGTCTGACAAATCTTACCAGGCATCCCATCGGACTCAATCACCTAAAATTTCCAAACAAAGAGGTTTAGCTAAGACCCACATTGGTTTTTTCTGTCCTACCTTCAGATCTACAGAAAATTGTATTACATCCGGAATCGCCACCAGAAATCCATCTACTATCGCTGATGAAAATATGTTGAACAATCGCTCGCTAGTATCTGTCTGTGAAAGGCAAATACGGCACATATTTTCCACGTCCATATCCAAATCGTATTCATGTAGTGAGCACGACATATTTGACGAATATTAAACTTTATTAAATTTTGTTCAGTCCAGTAATACCGTCTCAGGTAATAACTACTACGAATTTATTTGCAAAGCAACGACTGTACACAGCAAAAAAAGTTGTTGAATATTACATCGAAACTGCTGCAACCAGGTCAATCCATCGGTTGTGTAATATCACATTGTACGATGTACATCGATTTTGCGAACAAAATTACATCCATTGATGTAATATTGTATCTGCTTTTTGCTTTTACATCATTATTTCATACATCAGCTTGAATTACGTTGATCGATATTACATTTTTTTTTGCTGTGTAGGTGTATTCTCGCGTCACTTTTCAAATAGACCAATGTAACATATCCACCATTTTGAGAAAATCGAAGTTGAAGTTCGACAGATTATTATTATTCAGTAGCAACGGTAAAATCACAATTTTACTTTACATGTCATGCTACAATATAGAAAGAAAAAAACGATTGGACGATTTTTCTCAATGACATAATCAATGAGTGTTAAATTGGACGTTTTGTTCTACATGGTACTAGATTCCCTTTCACAGATTTCAGAGTAGAGTAACTTTAGATTGGCCCCGCCTTTAGAAAATGAGCACCAATCATGGACAGTCCAATTGTCGGAAGTAACAATCACTTACCCATAATTTCAAACTGTACATTGGACATTTTTTTGGCCTATGATTATATTAAACAAATGAAAGTAAATTTGGATGGGTGTTTTGTATCACATACAATTATAGAAGGGCAATAGTTTGTATCGATTAACTCGATTTGTTTACATTTGTTACTTAGGACCTTTTGAAAAAATACACGAGTATTGTTGTCAAACAAAACCTTTTTTGACAAAATAAAACAAAACAATATTCCAAGAGCAAATTTTCATTACGTCGAATGTAACAAAGGTAAACAAAGTCGAGCTATCATTGTCAATCGATTCTCCTGCTATTACACTATATCAAGAGCAAATTTTCATTATGTCGTAAGTAACATTCGCACCGATCCGAGAAAAATAAAGTTTTGTTTTGATGACCGAAAAGTTATTCCTATTTCCAATTAAACACATATAATCTCATAGTGATAGCAATGTTTAACATATTTAGCCGGGTTTTAATCATACAAAGGCAAATCGCTAGCTTTCATGCTAAGAAATACTGGTTTTTGAGTCAAAAGTTATTATACGTCGTTTGGTGGCCCCTATTGTTACTTAAGTCAAAGTGTATTTACCAGGATATTCGAGAGAATTATCAATTCAAGAGCAAATTTTCATTACGTCGAATGTAACAAAGGTAAACAAAGTCGAGCTATCAGTGTCAATCGATTATCCTGCTATTACACTATATACTGTCCGAATATAGGATCAAATCCCATTTTTAAATTTATTTGCCAGTCAAATTGTTTTTTGACGTAATCACCTTCCTATCAAAATAGTTTTCGATGTTACTTAAGTCACCCAATTTCTATGGAGATGCCGTTTGACTTAAGTAACAGCGCCCATTCCTAGTTGAGCATTCAGTCGGTTAACAACGTCCCGGTTTCAGTTGCGCGGCATCTAGTTTTTTTCGGTGTTTTTTCCGCCCGAGCGGTTTTTTTCACCCCCCATTGGGTGCCCCAAGTGACCAGTGTCCAACAGAGGAAGTGGAATTCTATCGGCCGAGCCCCTTGGAGTTACCATCCAGCTTTAATTCATCCCGGTAATCCATCACCGGAGTTAACGGCGTCGTCAAGTCCATCATTTTTTCACGCCGTCGCGAGGGTGTGCAAGTGATAGTGAAACCTTCTGTCGTATCACCAGCTTGCTGACCCACCAACACCAACCATCACCACCGGATAGCAGCGTGGACCAACACCAACGCACCACGTGATAACAGCGTTTCCACACACACGCTTTGTGCCGGTGTAGTTAAGTAGCGAATAAGTTTTATTTATTGCCCCTTTGTTTTAGTTTCCCCTTTCTCCCATCCCACGCAAATATTTTCTTCTTCTTCTTCTTTTTTCTCTTGTCCCTGTGTGTTCCCTGTGTGTAGTTGTTTTGTATCTATTGCGGTGGCAGTTGCCCCGCAATGGATGGTAATAGTGATGGCGGGGGGAATACCCTTCCTGCCCTTCCCACTGAAGACGAACTGTCCGACGTGGAAACGTCAGCCACGGTGAAGAAGTACACCGGAACCATCCCGAAGCGGCCCAGGCGAAAACGAGCACCGGAGCCCGTACCGCCTACCCCATCTCCTCCTACCCCGCCTAATCCATCGCCACCAACACCACCAGCACCGTCACCCCCCGCACCACCAAACCCGTTTCCCCCTACCCCACCTAATCCCTCTCCCCCCACACCGCCAAAACCGTCTCCCCCTACTCCGCCTAACCCCGCCAAGAAAACAAAAACTGCCCCCCGCCATAAGTCATACCCAGACGCCTCGACAGGCCCATGGGTTGTTTTTTTCCGACCCAAACAAAAACCGCTTAACGTTAACCAGATCGAAAAAGATCTATTCAAGCGTTTCTCGTCAGTGACCGACATTTTGAAGGTGAGGCCAGACAAACTGCGCGTCACTGTTGGTAACCGCAAGCAGGCGAATGAGATTGTTGCCTGCGAGCTTTTTACGTTAGAGTACCGCGTTTACATTCCCAGTCGTGACGTGGAAATCGAAGGAGTGGTCACCGAAGCGAGTTTGACCTGCGATGACTTCTTGAAGAGGGGGGTTGGTGTCTTCAAGAACCCCGTTCTTCCAGAAGTCAAGATTCTTGACTGCACCCAAATGCAGTCAGCATCCCTCGACGGGACAAAAAAAATCTATTCGCTGACTGACTCGTTTCGAGTGACTTTCTCCGGATCGACTCTGCCAGATTACGTCCGAATTGGGAGGGTTCGACTTCCTGTGCGGTTGTTTATACCAAGGGTGATGAACTGCACCAAGTGCAAACAATTAGGCCACACCGCCGCCTTCTGCGGCAATAAGCCACGATGCGATCAGTGCGGCGAGAAGCATGCGGAGGGTGCTTGTGGTGCTCCTCCTAAATGTGTTTATTGTTTGGCACCTCCGCATCCTCTCGCAGATTGCCCGAAGTATAAACAGCAAGGAAAAAAACTTGAACGGTCTCTGAAGGCGCGCTCTCAGCGTTCCTTTGCGGAGATCTTGAAGACTTTCAATCCTCCTCCCAAAATCACTCCGGAAAAAGAAAACAATAATCCGTTCAATCTTCTCCCAGTTGACGAGGACGACACTGACTCAGAGGGCAATGACGGAAGTCCTTTTGTTTTCAAAGGTCCTTCAAGGAAGCGATCCAAGAATGACTCGCAGAAAACTAAAAAAACTGACTCCCAAGCCCACTTGGATAAATCAAGAGGTCACGGAAATAAACCGAAACCCAATCCACCGGGTTTTAAGCCTGTCGATTATGACAAAGAATTTCCGGGGCTTCGGGGAACATCTAAAACCCCAGATGTCCCAGTTTTGCAACCAGAACAGCAGAACGCCATGTTCACGCTTTCTGGAATTGTGGACAGCATTCTCGATCTGTTCAACATCACTGACCCTCTTCGGAGCATCATTAACATGATGCTTCCAATCGTGAAACCTTTTCTGAAGCAATTTGCTTCCAAGTGGCCCCTCCTTGCTTCATTCGTATCCTTCGATGGATAATTTTCCAAAAAATGATACGGTATCTCTCCTTCAATGGAATTGTAGAAGCATTTTACCAAAACTAGACATATTCAAATTTTTACTGCATAACATACACTGTGATGCGTTTGCTCTCTGCGAAACATGGCTCTCTCCAGATGTTAACCTTTCTCTTCACGACTACAACATTATCCGTCTCGATCGTGCAGATTCGTACGGTGGGGTGCTCCTAGGGGTCAACAAACAACACTCATTCTACAGAATCGACCTTCCTCCAGTGTCAGGTATTGAAATTGTCGCATGTCAGGTGAATATTAGAGGTAAAACCTTCAGTATTACCTCGTTATACATCCCTCCGAGAACGGCTGTTTCTCGGCGAGCGCTATCTGACATCTGCTCAGTGCTACCTGAGCCGCGGTTGATCTTAGGGGATTTTAATTCCCACGGTACAGGCTGGGGAGAGCTGTACGATGACAACCGCTCAACCATCATCTATGACCTATGCGACGATTTCAATATGACCATTCTAAACACCGGTGAAGTAACTCGAATAGCCAAACCTCCAGCAAGAGAGAGCAGACTAGACTTGTCACTCTGTTCGAACTCACTATCATTGGATTGCATGTGGGAGGTAATCCAAGACCCCTATGGTAGTGATCATTTGCCCATCAAAATTTCGATTTCCAACGGTTCATCTTCACAGTGTCCAATCAACATCGCGTACGATCTCACGAGAAACATCAATTGGGAAGAATACGCGAACGCGGTCCGTGACGGTTCAGAATCGGTCGACGTTCTCTCTCCGTTGGATGAGTACTCCTTCCTATCGCGGCTCATAGTGGATTGCGCGCTTCAAGCACAAACGAAGCCTGTTCCTGGCACTACCATTCGCAAACGTCCTCCCACTGTGTGGTGGGACCAGGAATGCACCGACGTGAATAAAGAGAAGTCTACCGCGTTTAAACAGTTTCGTAAATACGGTTCCCGCGAATACTTTGAGCGGTATACGGAGCTAGAGGAAAAGTTTAAGAGCTTGGTCAGGGCCAAAAAACGCGGTTACTGGCGTCGGTTCGTCGAAGGGCTATCGCGAGAGACTTCCATGCAAACGCTCTGGAATGTCGGCAGGAGAATGCGTAACGCGGCATCGTCGGTCAACGAGGGCAAGGAGTACTCTAACAAGTGGATTTTCGACTTCGCGCGTAAGGTTTGTCCCGATTCGGTTCCGGTCCGATGCAACACTCGCGATCCGCCGCTGGAAAACGATGACATGGACTCCCCGTTTTCGATGGTAGAATTCTCAATTGCTCTTCTTTCATGCAATAACTCAGCTCCGGGAATTGATCGAATCAAGTTCAACCTGCTCAAGAACCTCCCAGAAGTCACAAAGAGGCGATTGTTGAACTTGTTCAATCGATTCCTTGAGCTCAACGTTGTTCCGG